AATCTGTCACCTAAGTACACCTACTACTTATTTGTATACTGAAGAACAGTGTAATTTTGTAATTTCTTGATTTATCAATATATTTCTTCTAGAATACATATACTTTTTGTTGTTCACATAGCATGTTAACTTTGATAATAGTTGTAATGCAACTGGTTTTTGGAATTTCAATCCAGAGTTTACTATAATGGTAATTTTGTGCTGGGGGTCCTGCTTTACCCCAGCTGTTTCATAATGTAACTTTTCAAAGGTGTGCTGATGAGGGTTAATTAGTAACCTACTGGGGCCATTTTGTCTTATCATGAGAGCAAAATCGCTTTTGTGAATTGAAAAAATTAGAGAGAACTTATCTATTATTAGTTTTCAGATTTTATTTTTGTAAATTGTAGCATAACATTCCATAATTTATACTAAATTGTATTATTTAATGAAGTTTGAAGAGAAGTTTAATTTAAAAAAATCCCAGAATATGTTTGAGACTATAAATAAGTGCCCTCTAAGGAAAAAATTTTTTTTCAACAATTTAAAAAAAATTTTCTTTGAACTTTAGCCCTGGTTCTGCCATCTGTGATTGGTATCTAAACCTTTTTCTAGTCTGTTTTCTTTATAAAATAGGATCTGAATGTGTTAAACCTCAGTTGTAAAACTTTTAGCCAATTCTAGTCGAAGGTGTCAATTTCAGTACCCTTTTATTCCAATCGCTGTTTTTCACATGAACAAATTACAGGATGATAAGCAAAGCATGTGACAAAACTTTGTTCTCTGGATTTTACAATATGAATGTGTGGTGATTATTCTAGTAATTGCCATTTTATATAGAGGTTGAATTTAGTAGTGGTCAATAGTACTTTTTTATAAGCCTTAGAAAATTTGCTTCTGGAAAAACTGCATGGGATGTATGTGACCTTTATTATTTTTCTATAGTAGCTTAAATCATGCTATATCGTATATCTATTTATATTAATCATTATATTGAAAATTAACTCAAAATAGATATGTTTTTAGGAAAGAAGTTGAACCACGAATGTTAGGGTTTAGATCTTTCGAATGGCAAGTGTATGGTCTTTACATGAAATAGGCTCAGTGCTTTGAACCAAAAGAGTTTGTGATTTTTATATTCTTTTGCATTTAAATTAGCAGTTTTAAGTACAATAATTTAGCATAATTTTATATTTAGTCCATAATAAAAATATGATTCAGTATTTAGAATGATAACCTTGTGTGATTTGTAGGTACTACTAGTACTGCATAAGAATTTTATATTTTTCATTCTTCCTTCTTACTATTTTTACTTTGTAGTAAGACCCACACTTCTGTTGTTGTGTTTTATAATTAAAACAGTGTAACTGATATATAAAAAGTTTATTCTGATATTTTGCAAAGGGTTTAAAACTCAGTGTACAAGTGACAACATTAAAACCCATATGTTGGTTATGAAAAATACTAAACACATATGTCTTACAGTTGGGGTGTCAATACATTGAAGAGCTTAAGTTTCAAATTCCAAAATAAATATTGCCTATAATGAGAGGAATGTGACCTGTTCTAGTCTTTTAAGTGCTGTAAAATGATTGTCTTTGTAATTTATTGTGTCTGTATCATTTGTTAATCTCTTTTAACAGGATGTATCATGTAACTATGGTCAGGCGGTGCTATTCAAACCACCTTTACTGTAAACTATTACATACATTCATTAGTAGTGGCAATTAAATTTTTGCCGGTATAGTGAAACATTATACAAGGACATGTGTTGAAATAAACTTGTTTGAAAGTTCAAAGAAAACAAACAAACTTCTGCACAATATATTCATGAGGAAAATGATAATGTTCATATTAATAAAAATGAATATCTCACCTCAACACCTGCCACAAAATATATTATACTATTCTCTAATTCTCCAAAATTGTACAGCTCTTGTGTGAGTGGTGTAATGACTGTCTGAAAAATAAGAAATAAATAAATGAATCATTTCATTCCAGATATTTTAACCAAGCAAAAGAGAAAAGTGTAATTATTTCTTTTAAAATTTGGTAAAAAGTAACGAGAGATAAAAACCTGGTTCTGTGCCTGCAATAATATTTTTAAAACAAGATAACTGTGATAAATATATTTTCTTTGTGAATAAAAAGTTATGCATAAAATAGAAGTAGTTACTGCATGATTATAGTATTGTAGAAATAGGGCACTTTCTACAAATTTTAAAGTAAATAATTCATTGGTCCTTTGGGCACAAAACAATTAAATTACTGCCAAACAGATTTTAATGATCAAAATGTTACCATTAACCCAATCACTACCAGCTACTAACTTTCTGTGTAGTCAACGTAAGTCTCATTATATTTTGTTCCAACAATAAAACTAGTGGATGAAGCTGTTTAAAACTTCGTAAGAACTTTCATAAATGTATGTAGTTTAAGAAACATAAAGCCTGTTACTTGTGATATATTTAGTTTCTTTGCATTATTATCTTTAATATCATGAAAAATTACATCAGGAAATAGTATTTGTACGATACGATTATGGTATTTATATTTGTTTCAGATTTGAACTTTTTACTTTTATGTTTAGTACATGATTTTAAAATCTCTAAAAACTTTTTATTATCCATAAAATGCATATTTTATCTATTTTTTAATAATCACGTACTCTCCTTATGGTTTCGAGAAATAAACAAGACTGAAAATAACATTTCTAAGTAAACCTAAACAATAAACAAGTATTTTTTTATTTCAAGTTTATGTTTCAAAGCAGCCACACTTTTGTTTATTGTGCCAAAAAAAAACTAAGGTTAGCAGTGTGAACTTAGTTCCTTTTGCCGTAATCTATCATGCCTGTTGGTGGTCACTCACGTTCAGTCCAGTGCAGGCTCATTTAAACATTACTGTAGATGTTATAGTAAGAAAGCTTTTCGGTACTTCAAAATAACCTTAGGGGAATCCACATTGAGCTATCTGCTGAGTCCTCCATGGGGAATCAAACCTCAGATTCTAGCGTTGTAAGTCTGCAAACTTACCACTGTCCCAAATGATGACATATTGTGCAGAATACTATAATAACTTCATGTTTAGGGAATATACCTTTTTAATGTTATTTACATTTTTTGTTAATTATATTTAGTTCAAGAAATTTACAGTTTTTCTTGTAGAGCTTTTATATGTATTGTATTAGTTACTGCAATTGCCTGTATAGAGCATCCTTGAAGTACAAGAGCAGCAATAAAAAGATAAGAAAAAGTGGTGTTTTTTTTACTTTTGATTATATCTAAATACTAAGAAAGAGATTATTATGTTTATTTTAGGTAACACCACAGTGCATATACTGTTTTGCTAGATAATCTTTGAAACTACAAAGCTGTCTCTCCAGGGATTATCACCAAGTCAGAGTTATGTGAACTGAGCTTTTCCTACACGTTTTTGTAACTAAGGCCAACAGAACATCTGCAGGTCATAGATGGGAAATGAGGTCAGCGACCTTACAATAGCTCCCTGCTCATATGTTCATTAAGCACATCATAACATAGGCCACAGTTATAAGTCAAGTTGCATTTTCATGATCTTGGTTTCAGAAAAAAAACTGGCTTATACTTATGCTAATTGTGCTTAGAGAGTAGTAAAGAGTTTGAAGTCAATATAGTGATGATTATGTGCTAGTGATGTAGTGATTATTTGAATCCCAGTTACTTAACTTCAAGTCATGTGCTTTCTACTGTATAGCTGTAATTGTGTGTAAAAAAAAGTTTGTTTTTTCAAGTGGGTTTTCTTGAGCAGGATTTTTGGGTCAGGGAAAATCACAACAATTCTGACTAGCTACCATCAGATTGATGCCAATTACTTAAGATGAAATTATTATATGGTCAGGATGCCAAGACAAGAAGGTCTGTTTACATGAGGATAAAGGTGTCAAATCACATATTTAAGTTCAAAGCAGCATTTCTGCAAATCATGAAGAATGAAACAAATGTTCATGTTATCTCTCGCTCTGACATATTCATGAAGACACCTGACTGTGCTTCCACTGACTTCTTTACATTTGGTTTACTTAGAAGTTGTCTTGAAAGCTAACATCCATATACAGGGAACTGAGCTTTTCCTACACTTTTTTTGTAACTAAGGCCAACAGAACAGATTTGTTCTTTTGAGAAGCTAGCAGTGTAGTGCAGTAGTACGTCATCATGACTATCAAATTGAACACAATCAGTGATGGAGGAAACAGTTCCAAGGATAATATGGAAACTGGAACCTTGATCTTATAAAGTGTAATTAACCCTCCATAGTCCATCAAATAAATCAGCTTTATATCATAGCAGTGCCATACATAAGTGGTGTGTGAAATGTATGGTGTATATCC